CTCTCACACACACAGCACTCTCACAGCACCCTCACACCCATCACACTCACAGCACTCTCACAGAGCACTCTCTCACAGAGCCCTCTCTCACACAGCACGCTCACACCGCACTCTCACACGGCACTTTCACACCCATCACTCACACCGCACCGCACCCCTCACACACACACCGCACCCTCACATACACACAGAACCCCCCCAACACACTGCACCACACACATACTTTCAAATATATATATATATATATATATATATATATATACACACACACTACACTCTTAAAGGACCACTCTAGCCACCCAGACCACTTCAGCTTAATGAAGTGGTCTTGGTGCCAGGTCCTTCTAGGGTTAACCTATTGTTTTATAAACATAGCAGTTTCAGAGAAACTGCTATGTTTATCAATGGGTTAAGCCTTCCCCCAAAGCCTCTAGCAGCTGTCTCATTGACAGCCGCTAGAGGAGCTTGCGTGCTTTTCACTGTGAAAATCACAGTGAGAGCACGCAAGCGTCCATAGGAAAGCATTATAAATGCTTTCCTATGCGACCGGCTGAATGCGCGCGCAGCTCTTGCCGCGCGTGCGCATTCAGCCGACGGGGCGGATCGGAGGAGGAGAGCTCCCCGCCCGGCGCTGGAAAAAGGTAAGTTTTAACCCCTTTCCAGAGCCGGGCGGGAGGGGGTCCCTGAGCCACATATGCATCACATTACACCACAAACACAACACGACTAAAACCGACCTTATTACACAATACCACACCACGACCAGCTCACTCTACACACACGCAATACCACAAGCAGGCTCCAAACACATGCACAATACTCTTTCCTGGCCTTTTGTCTCCTGGTATCCATTTATAGAGACACCAGAGACAAGTTGCAAGGAAACACAGTGCAAGCATGTTATTAAATTTGCTTGCACTGTGCAGAACAAATACAGGACTTTTTTTCTCATGCTAGAGCTCTTCAGCAGAGCTCTGCGCATGGTCTGCCCTGGAAGAGCATTGAACCAACATGCTCACTTTGAGAGGAGGCGTGTTTGTCATTGGTGATGACAAAACACACCTCCTCTGCCCCGCCCCCTTTTTAGTGGGCCGCTGTGTTAAAAAAATGCCCGGGCCGAATTTTTCTCCCAGTCCGGCCCTGATTGCAACCCTCATTATAATGTTTATATGCTGTGGTTAATAATTATAACCTGCACTAAATTCTATGTTATATTTTGTACAGTTTTTTTTTTTTTTTTTACATTAATGTTAAATATGATTTGAAGCACAAACAAAGCTTGTTTTCTGGTTCATTTGGATGGTTTGTTCGTATGAGATGATTGCAGCTTAATTTTAATAATTGCACATTTGGCTTATTCTTTCAGTAGACTGTATCAACTTTCAAAATTGTAAACTACACAGAGAGTTCACCATTGTAGACTGTCACTACCTTGTTTGTTCTGGACGAATTGCATGCAGTGTCCGATGGACCAATGGAACCTTACCAGTCACGGTGTAGGGGTTAACGTATGAGATTAGAGGAAAAGAAAATGAATGAGAAAGTGAGGTCCGAGCGAGAGAAGCCGACATATTCTACCATAAGGTCTTCCAAGCTCCTTATTTCCTCGAATGTGCAAATTCAGGATGCCAGTAAAGGAGTTTGCAGTCTTCGCCGCATTGAGTAGTTGCAGTTCCACTAACCGTTTGTGAATTATTAATGGTAATCTGGTGTGGTGTAGCAGTATGGCTGCTGGCTCAACCCACACATGTTTACAGTGGCATCTGACAAAACCTTATGGTAGCCTGCCATTTTCTGATTCAAGGAATGTACAGGTGCCTGCACATCCATTGTGGCTGAGCATTAAGGGGAATGTAGTTCATTTGCAGCAATAAGGCTACCTAACACTTTGCAAAATGTTTTGATTACAAAAAAGCATCTTGAAGTCATTCAAATGCAAATCAATCTCCTCGTGGAAGGTGTTTGTGTCATTATTTAGACAGGAAACAGGTGCCATCTTCCCTTGATAGTATCCTCATCTTGTTGCATATTCGATTAGAAGTGTTTATAGCCAGACTTTCCACACATAGTGTGTGCTTCCTGTAAAAGTTTTACAGTTGCTCCATTTTGACACTGTTTAAATCCGTTCTAGTTATTGTTAGCTAGTGATTCTTAACGGGTTTATTGTTCTCCCATCAACCAGCTTAATGCCCACGTCTGCCCGTTACAGAACAGCGTTCCATATAAACAAGATCTTCATTCCCAGAAGACACACGGACTTTTCCCGTGCAATAAAAGTCAGTTTATTCCTTCATTGAGCCGAAGTTTTGCAAAGTTTAAAATTCCACCGTTTTGTTGTTTATGTAGAGAAGGATTGTTGTGTGGGCTTGAGTGATTCCCTTATGTCCTTGTTAGATTAAGCCCGTATTTCAGATTAATTCTTTGTGGTGGTGCTGTGATTCACGCAAGGAACATTTTTTTATGCGCTACTCATCACATTAACGAACGATGCCTCTGTGTCTCCATTATTAATTAGTATTCATAAAATCCGCAGTGTGGGAAACCTGCACAGATGGAACAGGAAAAAACCCCTTTCATTAAAGCAAATTTAAGAATGACAGCCTTTCTGACTGTCTCCCCAAACATCTGGATGAATGTTTGGAGTCAGAGGCTCCTATTGTCTTTAATAGAAACCAGTCATCATACGTTAAAAAAGGTGATGAGAGGACACGATGTAGAAAAAAAACAAAAACCTCCACTTCAAAGTCAGTGGCTGAGATCAGCTCAGCAGAAATGTATTATGCAGATAGTCTTAAATATTTCATTCATATTCTTAGGAAAATTAAATATTCTAATTTTCAGTTTTCATTATCAAGTAGTGGTGTATTTTTGTAGTTCTATAGTTTGTGATTGTTCTAAATAATTAACAATGCGTTTATATAGTGCCAACATATTCTGTAGCATTTTACAATAATAGAATTGGGGATATCTGACAAGTAATTGACATACAACAATTAATACAGTCAAGAGATGAAGAAGGCCTTGCTCAAACTTGCAATCTATGAGGTGCTTGTTCACCGGTCGTTCCTAAACATTTTTGTATTAAAATTTAATACAGGTGTAGTGGTTATGGTGCCAATAGTGCACTGGCACCCCTCAATTATACCTGGGGTCCACAGTGCGCTGCTCCCTGGAACTGGAAATGCTCTGCCTGAGCCAGGCCTGGTAGTGCATTGCTTAACTCATTGGCTGACAAGGATCAGCTGACCTTTCCCAGCAGGGCTTGGCTCAGGATAGCGGGAACTTTCAGCCCAGCATTGCCGCATAAGAGAGGCAAAGAGCGGCCCCTGGCTGACCATAGGTAAGATGGCAAAGCATTGGCAAACTGTTTGACCGCTTATCTTGTGGGGTGCTGGTACACTCCTGGTACTATAACTACTGCAATGGTTATAGCACCTGGAGTGTTCCTCAAAGCCAGATCACTATTTGTGTGCCTTTTTTTTCTTGTGATCAATGTGGGAGCTGGAGCTGTTGTCTGCTCTTGTCACATCATCTAAATCGGTACTTCTTCATAGCATCTGACCAACTTTCCCCCCTAACTCACTTCTTGCATTTATCTAGCAATCTATATCGGAGCTGCATGCTGTATAATAAGCCTTGTCTCCATTGCTGGTCATCTGATCTAGGTAGGATCTGCTGTTAGTAATGACTAGTAATCTCCCTATGTAGAATGACCGCTTGCTTGTCTGCGCTTCTCATGTGATGTGGATGGAAGTTGCCGTTTAGAGCATGGCAAACAACCTTTCTGTTCTTCTTCCCACATGTCATATCATTTCGAAATGAGCTACTTCCTATAGCTCTAAACCTCGCTCTAAATGTATAGAAAATAATTTTATAAGGTTTCTCATGGTTTCAATTCTGAACAAGTCATTCATGTTTATCTTAAAATAATGTTTTCCTATTTTTGTGCTTCCTTATATTCTGGAGATCATTCCTGTCTTAGTAAATGTGTGCCAGACCATTGATGTCACAGAACACAACTGGTAGACAGAGACACAGTCTTGATGTTACTGTTATTTCTGGTGATAGACCCTTTTTAAAATTATTTGGAAAATAGTTTTTCAAACAGACATATCCATGGCTCAAGAGAAAAGCATTTTCAACCAGACGTTCAAATGTTAGAAAATGTTCTAAAAGCATCCATTAAAGAATAAATCCACTGAAAAACATAATGCATTCTTACAAGACCTACTGCACGCTTTTATTTAGAATTTTAGACAGCTCTGCTCCCTTGCCCATGAAAGATGTGCAGAATTATTTTTATTTAAGGGGACATTCTAGGCACCATAACCAGTCAAGCTTGTAAAGTGGTTGTTGTCCAGCCTTCTTTAATGTTTCAGTGTGACAATACATGGCTTAAAAATTGAGCGTGTAGCTCTACCTTGAAGCCCTGTCAGTCAGAGAGACAAAATATCCCTTCCCATCCAATCTCTCACATCAATGAGAGGAACTTGCATGCGCAAAAAGGCACAGTGAGAACATGCAAGTTCGATGAGTACACCTGTCTGTCTGATTATCTAGTGATGTGTGTGTGCAGCGCTGTTTGTGCTGCAACTCAGATCATCACCATAATTGCTTACGAACACATGTTAGCGACTTGAGGTGGCAGCGATGATGGCAATGAGTTGTGCAGACGACTACCGTGTTTCTCCGAAAATAAGACCGGGTCTTATATTAATTTTAGTCACAAAAAACACACTAGGGCCTATTTTCAGGGTAGGGCTTATTTATTTACGGTACCGGTATGTACATTGAACAACATTTAAACAACTTTTCTCCACCCCCTTTAATTAATCCACCCCCCTCTTTAATAAATCCACCCCCCTTTAATTAATCCACCCCCCCTTTAATTAATCCACCCCCCTTTAATTAATCAACCCCCCTTTAATTAATCCAGCCCACCCTTTAATTAATTCACCCCCCCTTTAATTAATTCACACCCCCCCTTTAATTAATTCAGTCCCAGACATAAAATATCTACTCACATTTCAAAGATTCCTTGCCCGCCGAGTCCGACCACTGGGTGCCTCACCGCCCGGAAATGGATCCTTCCGCTGAAGATCCGTGAAGGCAGACTGACGGCACTGCGAAAGGTCGTCATCACGTTGCGCGATGCCGCGGCCCGCAACGCTCCTCCCCCTCCTCCTCATAGGTAGAAGAAGGAAGTCTCGCCGGGCCGCAAAGGTGCAATGCCTAGGTCTTATTTTCGGGGTAGGGCTTATATTGCAGCCCACCCCGATAATCCGGCTAGGGCTTATTTTCGGGGTAGGGTGTATTTTCGGGGAAACAGGGTAAGTCAAATTGGGTTAGTATTTGCAGCATTCCCGTAATGCCTTGCTTATCGTGGATTTTGGATTTTCTTTTTTAATGACTAATTTTACATGTGTATAACACATCTATTTAAAAGCAATACTGTCCTTTACCTGTTTGTCACCTAACCTTGCATACATTATGTAATCAGTGGTGGTTTTAGAAAGTATTGAAGTATTGAAATGGGCCATAACCACTGCAGCTTAATGTAGCGGTTCATTTAATTTTGTGCACACATTCCCTCTGTGTTTTGTGTATTCCTTTTCATGATCTTTGAAAAAAATCAGGGATTCTCTGGTGCACTAAGCAACCCACTTTGTCTTTAACATATATTTATAATAGGATTTTTCGCATTCGTTTTGCATCACCATTTCCCAGACCTAATGATGTAGATGCTTTTTACTTTGCAGACATGAAACAGAGCACTTACTTTGCTTGAGATCAGAACTGTTTTTCGCATACACCATGTGAAAATCTACGACTTTGTGTTTCTAGATCTACATTGATTTCTTTTTTTGTTTCATTGGCATTGCAGGAAATTAAAACCTTCGCAAGATACTGATTACACCTGCCAAATTTAAACTGATATTTTTAATTAGATCCATGAACACCTTAAGGAATCTGTGAGCATACATTGTTACTCACATGCCAACCTTGCATGTTCAGTTAAAATCCGGATTGGTCACATGATAGATGTCCTTTCCAATGTCGAAAGAGCAGATTTGATCACGATTTGCTTCACTTTCCAGCATTCTTAGATTCATTTAGGTGTTTTTGTATTCCTTATTTTTAACACTCTCCTACTTTGCTGACTAAAGTAAATAATTAAGTCAATATGAAAATGCCCCCTGTTCTTGATTTTATAATAGCATTCTAAACTTGTAAAGCCCATGTAAAGTAATGTATAAAACAAATGTTTTATGCTGTTTTGCATTTTTATTTCATATAGAACATCCACAGTTGCCTGTTTATGCTCTAAGTGATTATAATTATTTAAAGCTTAATGCTGAGACTTGCTCCCATGCAGTCATACATCTATACAGCTGCCTCCGCTTCGAAGCTGCATACTGAACTGTTCACCCACACATGACTATACATAGACACAGAAGCACTCATTCACACAATCACTGTTTTCTTCCACTAAGTACATACTCAACGGTACATATCCAACAAAAATGTCATGTTATTTTCAGTTGAGCGGAAGGGACAATTATGTGAATGTTGAAATCCGTAGCGAAGGAATTAATAAGAATTGTATTAAAAAAGAAGAATGCCAAACATTTTTAATAAAGACAAAGCTTTGAATTATGTGTTTTTGGAGCAGACACAGTTATGCCAATTTTTGGTTGTATTTCTTATACTTCTAAAGTTTTGGCTTTGACCCTGTCCTCTGGAGCCATAATTTCATGTCAGGTGAAACACTGAAGAGGTTTTTACACAGTGAGTTCTAGGGAACCCTGCCTGTGATGCCTAGATAATGCAGCTATGTCCTGTGTAACACACGTGCCTTACCTAAGATCCACCGTATAAATCACAAATGGAGATTTCCAGACTGTTGCCACTTTGGAAATTCTGCCTGATACCCATCTGTCCTTCTGATGTTCTCCTTCTGTACCGATTCCCCTTTGTGTCTTAAAGGGATTCTCGTGGACTCCTGCAGGTAGACAAACGGTTAAAAAAAAAATTTAATTTATTTACTTACTCCATCCCAGTGCCAATGTCCCTAAGCGCTGGGTCACTGCTCCACCTCCTCTGACGTCATCTGATGCTGGCCTGTGGGCATTTCACTGATGCTGGATTTTCTCATGCAGAGTGTGAGGACATCCAGCGTCAGGTGACCTAAAGTCCAATAAAATCCCGGAAGCTCCTCTAGTAGCTGTTTTAGTGGTGCAATGTAAAAATTGCAGTTTCTCAAAAAGTGGGACAGGCACGCTGCACCCACACCATTTCAATGAGCTGAAGTGGTCTGGGTGAATATAGTGTCTCTTTAAGTGTCAACAGTTCTTCATTGCTTATCCTTTGTATAGGACCAGACCTGGCCTGATCTCTACTATACCAAACTTCTTACTGCTGGCTCTGGTACAAGATCACAAAGCCTTTCTTGTTTTGTTCTGTATCCTAGTACAAGTTCTGTTTAGCAAGGTTGCGTATGATAGTGAAAAGTTTCATGAAGCTAAATATAACCATGTGCAAAGCCGTCTAGTCATCCTGATAAAACTGTGCCGTAATTAAACTGTGCCTTAAAATCACAACATAAAGGGGGCAAAAAAATTTACATTTATTTAAAAATATCCTAACGCGTTTTATGCTGTTATCCACACTTGATCACATATTGTACTCCTTCCTTCTCTTCTCTGCCTCTGTTTGCTGCTTCACAACACATGACCCCATGTCCTGACAGATATTTATGCATGATGTTAGATGCAGCGAGGCGGTTTTTATGCCTATAGGATCCTCTAAAGAAAGGAGGTATGCTGCACTGACGTGAGGGAAAATGTATCCGAAATAATCAAGAAGTACTTTTTACCCAAATCCTGATACCTTCTTGCTTTGATACATCATCTGATGAATTGGTTTTCAGCAAATGTACCGTAACACATCTCTCTCTTAAACGTGTATGTCAGTCAAGTACACCCAAACAGGAGCAACAGCAGATCTAAATAGACCCAAAAGAGGTTTCTTTATTTGTAACTTTATTTGTAGCCTAGTTCTATTGCATCCAATTGTTCAGGAGATCAAAGTAGAGGCCTTAATTCCACAATTGCATTTAGAAAACATTGGTGGTAACAAAGCACCCTACCCTTAGGGGAAGGACAGACCGTGTCAGTACGTGTCAATCAAGTGAACACCCTCTTCAAATTAGAACGGGAACCTTTAATCTACTGTGAAAAATCAGGATGCACAAGACTATTCATTCTTGCTGTACATATGGTTTTATGTTGTATTGTTTGTATGTGTTCAGGTGTGTGTTTTGTTTTTTTTACTTTGGTTTAGTGCTTCCAGTGCTCATTTACCTATAATTGCTGGGTTCTGTGTTTACCTTTACTCTTGCTAGATTAAGGAACATGTTTTTGCTCTCAGTTTCATGTAGCTTGTGTAATTGCTCACCCTGATAATGAGGTCATTATCAGGGGTGATTAATGTTCATAGTCACAGTAAATAATGGGGAAAAAATATCCATCTTTCATATCTGTTTATTGAGTCTGTTTGCTGAAGCTTTTAGATACCAAATTTACATTTACGGTACTTTCCTGTGCATCACATGCCAAAGCTTTTTTTTAAATTGATTTTGACCATTCACTTAAACAGATGAGTCATTCATCTTAAATATTGTATGGAATTATTTGATCTTTTTGGCTGGAAATGTATGCAACAGACTTTTTGGCTGGAAATGTATACCAGTCGCTATGATATCTGACCTTGTTTATCTTTGTTTTAGGTTTTACAGCTGGTACCCTCTAACAAACCTAACGCTTTGTATTTCCTATTTGTTGGCCCTGCTTGTGGCCCTGCATTAATCTGCGGATTGCTCTCCTCAACACTTGATGAGGAACGAAGAGCATGATGTCTAGAAATGCTGAAAACCTCTTAGTTTTCAGTGAAAGTTGGCAAGGTAACCAGCTTTGGGAATTAGGAGAGCTAAATGATGTAAGCTGGCTGAATTCTAAAATCTGGGATTTAACCAAGATAACAGGGGATGTGTGTGTGTGTGTATGTATATGTACTAGTTTAAAAAATTAAAAAGGTTCAAACTTCCTACATTTCTCTCGTGGGTCAAAGTTCTCCATTTGCCCGACATCAGTCCCCCTCGCCGGAGGGTGAGGCGTGTTGGGGAATATGGACAGAGAAGTCACGTGCCTCTATTGACTGTCTAGTGCATGCATGTGCAGGTGTCAGACACTGGTTTTGCACAGAATTGACATTAGCCAGCCCTGAACTTTGTTTTGGTAATGCTCATGACTCTACCGGAGATGCAGTTACATCTCCAGCAGCGAAGGAGTTAATTTCTGTATATGCAGCGTATTTAATAACTCTGCACATATAGACCCCATGCACCATGGCCACCGCAAATCGCTGAAGTGGTCATGGTGCTTGGAGTAACCCTTTAAATTTGAAATTCACTTTGAATTCTCACTTTAATAAATAGCCCTGATTGTAAAGCTTTGTGGTCTCCAGTCACTGGATGACAGACCTATGGCTGGTCTGAGCCATCTTGAAAGGTAGCGAAAAACCATTGACTTGGACTTGAAAGATACCGATATTGCCGATAATGCAGACAAAAGCCGCCACCATATTCCTGGAGGGCCCACGGCACACTTTAGCTTACCTTCCCAGGAGCTCCCTTCAGCTCCCCTGTATAACTCTCGCGAGTCCCGCGGCTGTCAGAGCATTGACATGGGTTACCATGGCAATGCTCCGCTCGGCACACAGGCCGCAAGAGTTAGAGAGGGGAGCTGAAGGGAGCTGCTGGGAAGGTAAGTAAGAGTGTGCTGGGCCCCCTCTGCACAGTCCATGCCACCGGACCACCAGGGAACGCCATATCCCTCCTCCCTGGCCAGGTAAGAAGCAGGGAGGGGGGGACTAAAACATAATTAAAAAAAAAATAAAAATGCCTCCTCCCCGCCCCCATTTTTACACACTTAACATACCTACACAAACACTCACTGCACAAACACACACACTTTGCATTCATTATATACACACACTACACAAACACACTCCATTCACTATACACACACACACACACTGCATTCACTATATACACACTACACAAACACACACACTCTGCATTCATTATATACACACTACTCAAGCACACACACACTGAGTTCACTAATCAAATACTCTCACATGCTTCCACTACACATATATATAGTCTTGAAAATATTCTGTCTGGCATGTATATTTTGTGCATTTACCTTAATAAAAAAAGACTTGGGGAAAAAAAAATAATAATAAACATGTCCAGTTAACAGTAGATTTGTGT